GAGGAGTTTTAGTCCAAGATGGCGGACGCGATTTCAAAAATCAACCGATTTTTGCCAAAATTGATGTAGTACGGTTTTTGAAGGTGAAGGTCACGGTCAAATCAAGGGTCACCGTCAGATAGCCAGGGAAAAATCCTACAACGTTAGTTATGGTCATTTTTTTTGCAACCAGTTGTTTTCAAGACAGCGCGCCTAACCATGCGTGACCTTGAATTGACCTTTAATGACCATCAGAGGTCAAATTCGGAAAATGGTCAAGAACATATCTGAACGTAAAATTTTCCGCTCTTCATTTCCGGGGTCAAAAGTAGGGCATCCCATTTGAAAAAATTAACTTGACCTTGAAATAACCTTGAAGGTCAAGGTCAAATCTAGGGTCACCACTGAATAGCCAGGGAAAATCCTAAATCTTTTGTCAGAATCATTTTTCCTCAAAATGCATTTTTCGAAAGTTACATACTTTTGGGGCACCCTGTATAGTCCAACCAAATTACACTTGGAGAAAAAAAAAATTGTTACCTGGACTTTTATAATTGGGAATGGTAAAAGGGTTTAAATAAACCTAAAAAAAGTAAATGCGTGAGCAGGGGCGGCTAAGGGTTGATTTGGAAGGTTGAAAAGTTATGAAAAATTGTACCATTGGGATTTCTGGCGAAAGTTGACGTCAAACAAAAAAGTATCCAATACAAAAGTTGTAGATCATGCAAAAATCTACAACTTTTGTAGAAGTCACTTTTTAACATAACCTCCAAATTTCCGAGAAAAATGCGAAAAACAGGTTTTTTTCGTTTTTTATTTCTCATTTCCGCAAAACTAATTTAATTTTGACGAAACTTGGTGAAAGTATACCTTTCTCTGTCTTAAATAACCTCAAATTTTTTTAGTTAACAAAATCAAGAAGTTTCTGAGATATTAATTTTTTTCAGCCTAAAACACTTTTTTCAAAGAAAAATTCTACTTAAATTTCAAAAATCTGTAATAACATTTCAAAAACATGGTCAAAAATGCAAAAAAAATAAAAAATGACTTGCAACAATGAATTTTTCAGTTTATTGTTGATAATTTGTTTAAATTAAAAAACATCCAAAACTGATTACACCATTCAATTCTACGGAAAGAAATAAAAAAAACAGTCTCATTGTTTGACCCATAACTTTATTTTTGTACAGTATTGCTATAAACATCCAAGTCGAATTACAAATGCACAAATGATAAATTATCTCAGGATGATTTGAGATTTCGGCAATATAAAGTATTAACTGCAAAGTCTACTATTGACGTGAAATCCGAAAACCCAAAATTTTACAAAATCGTTAATTTTTTTCTGGCTTTATTTGAAAACGAATTTTAAATAAATTGCATATTTACACTGCCACTTTTTTCGCTCTATCCAATGGCGTCAACATTTTTGCAATCCCACATTTCGTCTTCGACGGGCCATCATCAGATTAATTTTCTTTAAATATATCGCTGCTATTTTTATGACAAAATCTAGTCATTTTTAATTCTGTATTAGATGATATTACTATTGTAATCGCTTAAATAGATTTTTAGCTATCATTAAAAATTTTTCCTGAGTACGGCTCTGAACGCTTTCAAAATACCTATATCTATTGGAGGAGAGAGATGAGAGAATAAAAGTCAATACAGCACAAAATATCCAACAATTTTTTTAATCCAAAATTTAAAAAATTGTACCTAATAAAAAAATAATGCGAATTTATCAAATATTTTATTATTTCTAATTAGTTAATTAGTACGAGTATTGCTAACAGTAGTAAAAAATTGTTGGATATTTTGTGCGGTATTGATTTTTATACTGTTATGACTTACTTACTGACTTATAACTCAGGAAAAATTTTAAATTATAGCTTAAACAAGCTAAACACTTCTTAAGCGATTACAATAGTAATATCCCCTAATTCAAAATTAAAAATGACTAGATTTTGTCATAAAAAGCAGCGACGGATTTAACACATTGTAAATATGTAATTTATTTTAAAAATCGTTTTCAAATAAAGCCAGAAAAAATTAAACAATTTAGCAAAATTTCGGGTTTTTCCGGATATCTCCGGAACTACCCGGAATTTTAAAACTTTCTAAACAGCATATTGTTGGGTATAAAAAAACAACTTTTTTCTAATTTGAGCCACTCCGTATCTTTTACCGTTTTCTAGGTCCGAATGCTATCCCATCCTTATCTTGGACTCACTGTATATCTATGAATTCATCAAACTTCAAAAAAAATAAGTACACTAATCGATTCTACGGAAAAGAAAATATTTATTTTTATTTATTCACTATTCGACTTATGTTTATAGCAATACTGTATAAAAATAGTTTTGGGTCAAACAATGGTGTAATCAGTTTTTGAATGTTTTTTAATTTAAACAAAGTATCAACAATAACTGAAAAATTCATTGTTGTCATTTTTTACTTTTTTGCATTTTTGAGCTGTGATTACAATTTTTTTTTATTTCACCAAAAAGTATGTCAAAACGAAAAAAATTATTACCGGCAGAATTCTGTACGATTTTTTTAAGTAGAATTTTTCTTTGAACGTGTTAATTCTTTAAACATTGAAAATTAATTTCTAAAAAACGAAATTGTCACTAGATTTAAAATTTAAATATGTTATTCAGAACTGCTTTAACTATTAACTAAAAATTTGCGTACGTGTCTTAAGCCTAGAGTTTATTTGAAGGAACTACCTTATACGAAGGCGGTGTTGTTCACAGCCAAACCCAAGTTGCTGCCGTACCATCCAACATTTAGAGTTCAAACTGGACTTGTACTGAGGGTTGCTTTCGCTGTACAGCAAAAATAAAACGTGCTCTCAACGGTACAAATAAAGTATTTTATTTGAAAACAAAACTTGTGAAAAAAGACGTGTTGTCGGTTCGAGTGTTTGCTGGAGAGTCCGTCTTGGCGTGGATTCGCTCGCAGAAGTACCTGGTCATTGGCACCAATCTGCCGGGGTCGTCTTCCGGGAACCCTGGTGCGTCCGGGCGGCGCCGGCATCTCGCTGGCGCTCTTGACGTTGTACTTAAAAATCACTTGCAACATGTGTACCCACAATATCAATACAGAACAAGTAAAAATAGGAAAATACAATTTGTTTGCTTATTCCGGATTACTAGTCTTCAGGGTGGTCCGTGGAGTGGATGTCTTCGAGTTCTGGTAGCAAACTGAGGATTCCAGCCAATGTGGCCTATTTCTCGGTTTTTTCTTGGTTTGACTTTTAAATGACCTTGAAATAACCTTCAAATGACCTGATGCAGACAAACTGACCTCGGATTCAAACTCAGCTATCCCAAAAATCTATATAACAGGCGGTTAGACTTAATTGCTTGGCTTTTCTCAACTTGACCTTGAGCTGACCTTCAAATAACCTGATACAGACAAACTGACCTCGGATTCGAACTCGGCGACTCCAAAATCCTGTATAACGTGGTCGGACTTGATTGCTAGGATTTCTCTCAATTTGACCTTGAAATTACCTTGAAACAACCTTAAAATGGTCTGATACAAATAAACTAATGTCCGATTCGGACTCGGCGACCCAAAAAAACTGTAATCCAAGATCCTTTGATTTAATGTACTTCTCAATTTGACCTCTAATTAACCTTGATCCTGAATAGGAAGGAGGGGGGAGGTTCCGTTTGGAATGAAATCGATTAGTTATTGGATATAAATAATTTAAAAAAATACATTTTTAGGCCAAAAAATGAAGGGAGCCGAAATCCGGCCTAATTGACCCTCCCCCTTTGTTTACCTAATATTTTTGGTGTTATTTTTAAGGAAACAAAATTGTATCTTTTTATTTTTATTCAGAGAAACTACCTTTGAAGAATGGTATATTCGTATTGTTCCATTGCAACCGAGTGCTAGATGTACTTGTATTTTGTAATTTGTTCACAAAATATGTCAGTAAACAAAATAATTATTAAAATTTATACATTTTTGTAAAAGTGGCGTCTACAAAACAAACAATATTTATTGGTTGCTTGGAAGCAGTCTATTTATACCTCATAAAATAGGAAAAACAAAAATAAACATTTTTAGGATTCTGATGTTACCTCTTAAATGAGGTGTTACAGATACTGACTTAGCTTTACTTAGCATTGAAGTGGTTCCTAGGCTCACAATGATACGTATCCGCCCGTGTCTCATAGTATTTTCACGGTCATTCACTAGAAATTCGTTGGTATATTCAATAATAAGAGGCTAACTCGTTGGTATATTCAATAATAAGAGGCTAACTCAGAAGTGGTGTTTACCCTTTAAGTATTTTATCTACAGTGTAGGTAAGTACCGATGGTCTATCAGAAGTTACGTGAGAGCGATAAAGTAAGCCCTAGAAATCCATGTGATAGACAAGGATGGCTATAATGAAGGCGTCTAATAGTCAACGCCCATTTTGCCCTTCCACAAATAAGTGAATCTTATTTGTGGAAGGGCGAAACGGGCGGTGACTATGACACGCCTTCATTATAGCCATCCTTCTCTATCGCACGGATTTCTATGGCTTACTTTATCGCTCTCACGTAACTTCAGATAGACCATCGGTACTTTCCTACCCTGTATATACCACCTCACATGACATAACTTCCTGTGGTGGTGTTTACAGAGCCATCCACAAGGCACTCATGTATATTATGTTTAAGATAGTGTTTATACAACTGGCCCCTATTTCTCCTATTGAGTTAGGTTGCAATTGAGTGGTGTATTAGATATGTACAAGTCTGTTTTATAGCTTATTTCCCCTGGGAGCCTCATTTTCAAGTTGCGCCTAAGAATTACTGAACTTTTTCGAGTTCTAGAGTAAAACTAAACTATTTAGCTTGTGCACTCCAGTTTTATTAACACACATGTGATGCTATGTGATGTCATTAAATTACAGTTTTCCTGACTGTTACCTTAACAATTGTTTATGAAACTCTTATTTAACAGTTAATGTTTATCCTGTCTCTCATTGAGGTTGTTTTTTTTTTTTTCAGTCTTCCATGAAGGAGAAGCCGCCCATGCCGTTAAGCGATTTACAGGGTTGTATACTGGACCATACTTTGACCCTACAACTACTACTAATATAACGACCCAGCTCGGGACCCATGCGTATATCCCCTGTAAAATTAAACAACTTGGTAACAAATCTGTGTCATGGATAAGGAGACGAGATGCCCATATTTTAACAGTAGATAGATATACCTTCATAGCTGATGATAGATTCCAGGCATTCTTTGTTGAGGCAACGGACACGTGGACTCTACAAGTAAAATACGTACAAGCTAGGGACGCCGGTCAATACGAATGCCAAGTTAGCACAGAACCAAAAATGAGCCATTTTATTACATTAAATGTAGTTGGTAAGAAAAATAATCACCTTTGATTGTTTAAATGTGCGAGATTGTTATGTATTTTCTGTTTTTACTGAAATTTTCCAAGCCTGTGCCCAAAATTTGAGAGCACCTACGAAGATGGTTTTCGGCTTACAAAATTCGTGTTTCCTAGTACTTTAAGATGCTAATTGGCAGAATTGAAAAATCTAAGATGGCGGACATAATATGGCGCCTAGAAGTATGAGAAAAATAAAGAATTGTCCGATAAACTTCTCACAGTAATTAGATTAACGACAAATTCATACCCAAATAGTCTGAACAGGTGCCCTTGACATCGTTGGACATGAGTATGGAGTTATTTTTCAAAAATTCAAGATGGCGAATTTCATATAGTGACTTATAAGGCTAAAAAGCCTGAAATCGTCATTCAAAGGGAAGTAAACTGTCGATTTCACCCATAAACCTTATCTGAACAGATATTTCTCATGTTTTTCAGGTCGCTGGAACGTGACGTTGAGTTTGTTTGATGGTATAATATCATATATCGATTCTAACCTCAAAAACATTTAAAAAATCTCGATTTTTCGTTGATATAGCGAGCTAAACCTCAAAAGAATAGACAATTTTCATGGTTTTAGGGTCGCTGAAACATTATAATGAGTTTTTTTGATGGTATCACACTGATCCTAACCTCAAAAGTATTTGAGAAATCTCGATTTTTTTATTGATATAGTGAGCTAAACTTTAAAAGAATAGACAATTTTCATGTTTCTATGGTCACTAAAATGTGAAATAGAGACGATTTGATATTGTGGTGTTTTTTCCAGTTAATTATTTGTCAAGAAAGCAATTTTTCTAATCTATAGTCAAATAAATGTCATCTAGAATAACTTTTCATTATAAACGTCATTAAGAGATGTACCCAGTGAATATTCCATGACACCCGATCAATTTGTGATAATTTCAACAATTGAGATACGATCTTTCGGTGAGCAGGCGTTAGAATAATCCTGTTACTAATCAGTATTGCAGAATTTTTGAATTGTTTGCATTAGAGAATATTTTCATTTTCAATTTCTTACCTACGATAGGAATAAAGGCATGGTTTTCTTGAATACCATTTATAGATGAAATATGAGGATATTTTCGATTGAGGATCTTTCGAGTCCTTTCATGATCTCCTTTGCTGTAATAGAATATTGGCATGTTTTTAAATTTCTTCGAGCCCAATTGAAAAGAGATTTTGCATCCAAAATCACATCATTTGGTTTGACTTGAAGACTATAACGAGTTGCCTCTCTTTTGAGAGTCGCTCCTAAACCATCGCAGAGGCCTTTCCCATGAGGAGTTGCATGAAAGTGCCACTCAGCTTCAAGTTTGAAATCTGTCTCATGCTCCATCAAATAAAACATATTAAATCTATTTTTAAAGTGCTGTTTAGCTCCATCAGTCCCATAAATGATTTTTTTACTCTTGGGCAGACTTTATTTCTGGTATCATGGTCTGTTGCATCAGATATACTGATGCTGTATCATGAGTTGTAGTATCTTATAACAGAATAGCACTATAATGTTTTGTCTCCTCACCACAACGATAATAAAACAGAACTGTGAAAACTGTACACTGATCATTATTATAGTGAAAGGCCTGTGCAGCATCTTGTGCTACATAAGCATAATTTTCGGCGAAATCACATTGGAGTAGCACCTCGTCTTCTCTCAAATTTTCTTTCTTGTCACGGAAGAATGCTGCCTGAGCCTTTGAGATAAAATCATGAGTGATAAGCTGTATCAGATTTTCACTCAATTCAGAAGCAAAATCTCCAGGACTTAGACATTGTTTCTTCAACGTACATCGATCAGTGCTTGTCCATGTACTGAAAATGACCTGTGGAAGGTTCGATTTTTTAAGTGATTGAAATACAATATCTGAAAATTTTTCAAGGTTTGGACATGTTTCGCACTCAAGTAATCGACAAGCAACTGTCTTATTTCGACACAGAACATACTCAATTCAGTCTTTGTAGTCTTTAAATACTGCTTTTGAACCATTGCACAACATTTTTGATTTAATTTCGTCAAACATGGTTTTAAAATTTTGATGTTCTACACAAACACACACACTGTGAGTCCCAGATTTACCTGCAGTAACACACCACTCTGGTCGAAGTTCAGCAAATTTGGATAGTCCAATGGGATATTCCTTGAATTTCTCTTTGAACTGATTATGGAGGTCTTTAATATTACACAATAATAAACGCTTCTGCATCTTCTTACCATCTTCATCATACACAATAACCGTCCCTTTTTTGTGTGGCATAAGTCTGCTATTCACGTTATTTTCATAAAAATCAATTACTTTAGAAATAGTGTTGTCTGGTAGATTTTTTCCTTTTTTAATTGGTGGAGATGCTAATACACCAACGGTTTCTCTAAGATCTTTCCCTTTTTTGGCCGTATGATAAGAAGTATCGAACTCTTCAGGGATTTCACGAATAGTCCAACAGGTTGGAGCTATCATGAGTATTGATACCTTCAGTGGATCATGGTCAGGTAAACTTCGAAATTTTTCTTTTAGACCTTGAAGAAGTTCTTCCAATTGTTCTTCTCTTGACGAACGTGATTTTTTAGGGGGTGACATATCATCTTCGATATAATCATTTAAATCTTAGCTAACAGTTGTTCCAGGAGCAGGTTCACGTTGAGTCTTATAACATAATTTCCTGCAATCGTTACACATTCTAGCATTTAAAGAAAGATGTGGAAATTTATTCAGAAGATTTTTTGACAAATATCAATTCTTTCCCTACGTGGCTTTGCCTTCCGAATGGATTTGCACATCTATCAGCATGAGACGTCATTTGCACATCACTCATTTGCTCTGGATCAGCCATGTTCCTGATGAATATAGATCTAAAACAACGAAGTTGTTGCCTCTGAAATGAATAAAAATGTGGACACCTGAAAGAATATTAACCAGCAATCAAAAACTGAGAACCCAAATAAATTATCCTGATAAAGGCGGTTGTAAAATTCGCAGCACAACAAAACTATTGAAATAAGATTCTGATGGAGAAGAACTGGTGTTGATTTAATCATCAAGAAATGTTTATTCTCTTGAGGTCAAGCTCGCTATATCAACACAAAATCCAGATTTCTCAAATACTTTTGAGGTTAGGATCGGTGTATGATATACCATAAAAAAACCTCATTATCATGTTTCAGCAACCCCAAAAACATGAAAATTGTCTATTCTTTTGAGGTTTAGCTCGCTATATCAACGAAAAATCGATATTTTTCAAATATTTTTGAGGTTAGAGTCGATATATGATATTATACCATCAACGTCATGTTCTAGCGACCTGAAAAACATGAGAAATATCTGTTCAGATAAGGTTTATGGGTGAAATCGACAGTTTACTTCCCTTTGAATGACGATTTCAGGTTTTTTAGCCTTATAAGTCACTATATGAAATTCGCCATCTTGAATTTTTGAAAAATAACTCCATACTCATGTCCAACGATGTCAAGGGCACCTTTTTTTTTGTTGCGGTGGAAAAATCCATCATGGAGATCGGGTGCCTATGCTCTATCACACCCGATACTGCCGGACTCCTACCGGCCAAAAAAACCCCCTTTCTTCACCCATTCTATTGGACTTCAGCGAATCCGGAACTGCTATTGGCTTTCATCGGATTTGCTGAGAACATCTACTCGTGGTCCCTATCTTCTACTCCCCCTAGTCCTCATCCGCCTCGGTTGCCTGCCTCCTTAACGCATCCTCACACTTTTTCCTCATAACACTGGTGAGAAAGTTTTCTATAGCAGTCTATCCTGCTTTGCTCCCCGTCATTACTGCTATCAGGTTGTCCGCTGTGATCTCTTCTCCCACCATCAACTCGGCTCGCCTCCTCTCCCCGCTCCATCTAGGGCATGCAAAACATGTATGCGAGGCGTCGCCGACTTCTCTGCAGTATGGGCACCTGTCATCCGCGGTTTTCCCAATCCTTTTTGTATATACCCCAAAGGCACCGTGACCAGTCAGGGCTTGAGTCAGGAAGTACGAACTATTTCTATGGTCACACCCCACCCATGTCTCCAGATTTCTAATAAGTCTCTTGGTCCACATTCCCGTACTTTGGTTTCCATCCCACTCCATTTGCCACCTCTGCATAGTTCTACGTCTCTCCTCTTTTTTGCAGCCCTAGACCCTCCATCTTCTCTTTCAAACAGCCTCCTCCTCTCCTCCACCATCAGATGTACGGGGACTATGCCTGTAACTACCTGGATTGCCACGGTTGATACAGTCCTATACGCTGAACCTACCCTAAGTAGGGCCTTCCTTTGCGCTTTTTCGAGGATACCCCTGTATTTCCCCAACTTCATTACCTCGTGCCACACCGGCGCCGCATATAACAATGTAGAAGCCACCACATTGTACAGCAACACCCTCTTAGAGAGGGAGGGACCATCCACATTTGGCATAATTCTTGCCAACAATGCCGCCCTCCTTTCGGCCTTGGCGGCTGCCTCAGTTGCGTGCCTACCAAAATTTCTGTTGTCGTCAACCCACACGCCGAGATATTTAATGGCTCTTTTTGGTCTGATAGTGATTTCTCCTAGGCTAAAACTAGCCTTGTTTCTCTTCCCTCTAGGCCCCCTTATCATGACAGCCTCGGTTTTTTTCTGGCGCCAACTCAAGCCCTCAGGTTCTCAGCCAACCGCTGACCATAACTAACGCCCTGTCCGTCTTGGATTTGAGTTCTACCTCTGTATCAGCCTCGGCCACCAGTGCCAGGTCATTGGCAAAGCCGACCGTTTTAATTCCTTCTGGCCAGTTTAAGCCCAGAACCCCTTCATAAGCGATGTTCCACAGGGTAGGCCCCAATATGGATCCCTGGGGAACACCAGCATACACCTCAATGACCCTCCCTTTCTCTATGATGAGTTTCCTATTGCTGAGACAGTCCCCAATCACGTCTTGGAGGTATGCTGAGATCTCCCTCCTGGCTAACTCCTCCCTTATAA